GCAGCAGTAGTAGTAGTAGGAGGAGGAGGAGGAGGAGTAGTAGTCGTCGTAGTAGTAAGTAGTAGGAGCAGCAGCAGCAGCAGCAGCAGCAGTAGTAGTAGTAGTAGTAGCAGTAAGGCCGTAGTTAGTAGTCCAGGATGCCTCGTTGGTACCCGTTAGTTATCATCCCTGGTGCGAGGGGGCGGAAGTTGCTTGTATGAGCTGTTGCTGCGTGTACAGTAAGTGGGGACACGGCTTCATGAGCAGTTGTTACGATCTGACAGCGAGAGGTCTGGTTATCCGCCTTGACCCATTGCTCAATGAGGAGCCTTTGGTTGGAGGCGTGGGAGTCTTGACATGTCGAAGCTTCGGGAAGGCGGTGTCGTGTTTGCATGTGGTCACTTGCTCGGCTCACCTCGGGAAGCTTGTGAGGGAGCTCGCGGAAATTCGTAGTTTGAGGTTGGCGCGCGTGTGGAGTTTGCCAGGCATTGTGGCCTACTTCATCGATCCGCCAGTCGTGGACTTCCGCATGACGCCCGGAATTGCACAGGCACGGATGCAGCTCAACTCCTCTAATTACATGAGTTCGGATGGCAAGCAGAGTGTACTGCAGGAGTCTTCAACATTTCGCGAATCTGGTGGTGAACATACAGTAGGCGAATCTTTACTACAACCCACCGCCGCAGAGAAAGGGTGACATGTTATGACGGACGGGCTGGGGCCTCTCGAGCTGTCAGCACCCCTCGCCCAAATGGCCAGCGCATCACACAGGACTGCTCGAGCACCCCAACTTGAACCACGACACAAGTTTCGGGCTCGTCTTGAGCAGGTGGCAGAGCTGGGTCCTTTGAACAAGGTTATCCGAGATCTCCTCCAGTCCGCCATCCACGACCAGCTCCTGCTCCCGAATGCCGCCTGGCGCAAACACCGGACCTCGCTCTGGTCTAGACTTAGAATCCTCGAGACTCGAATTGCCAGTCCTTCCAAAGCCCCAGAAATTATGGGGGAAGTGGTGGTTGGGGAGACTCCGTCCCTCAAGCCCTGACGAAGAAGCATTGGAGGGTTCGAGTATATTCGAGTGCGGCTTTCGCGTGAGCAAGGTCATCCACGTCCCCATGGTTGACGATGAGGACTTGGTGGACACGGCCAGCGTAAGAGATGCGAAGCCGCTGGGAGTGCTGCGAGTAACTGCCCCTCGGCCCTCGGATGTCAGTCTTTGCTTCTGTGCTACGACTCTGCGAGATCCTGCTGTCTCGGCCCTTTAGGACACTCTTTGAGCACGTCGCAGCCGTTTCTGCTCGCAGTGCTTTTGGAGTGGACGTAACTTTGCTTTTCTTGGGCACGTTAACGGCTATAGATGGTGATGTTGAAGCTCCTCACGGGCCTGGCGTTGGCTTGGCTGACGGTCGGCACGCCCAGCAGCCCCGGAGGGAGCCCCAGCAAGGCCAACGCCACGCAGGCTCGAAGCAGCCTGCGAGGACCACCCGTAGCCTCAGCGGACCCAGCACCAAATGCAGCACCAAGCGCAGCACCAAACGCAGCACCGGACGCAGCACCTGACGCAGCACCGGCCGTACCTGACAGCAATGTCCACTCCGTCTGCCAGAGCCGTCCATTCGACAGCAGCCTTGGGCCTAACGGAGGCGAGAACATGGCGCAATGCCAGGGAGATTGTGACGGAGATGAGGACTGCGCGGCGGGGTTGATGTGCAAGCAGAGAGACAATGGCGAGCCTGTTCCCGGATGCAGTGGGGGCCTCTCCTGGCCGCAGATGGACTACTGCTACGACCCGCAGTGTGAGGACGAAGAGGAAGGCTTGCCACCTTTGGACAGCAGTTCCGGTTCCGACGGTTCGACAGACATGCCGAAATGCCATGGGGATTGTGACGAAGATGGGGACTGTGCTACGGGGCTCAAGTGCTACCAGAGGTCCGGTACCACGACAGTGCCTGGATGCTCAGGCATAGGGGTTCCCGATTTTGACTACTGCTTCGACCCGGCGGATGCCCCCGAACCTCCGACCATGCCTCCCGGAAGTGGACCAGCTTGCCTTTGTGTCTTCGATGTTGACCGGACATTAACAGGAAATCAGGGCACTGCCAGTAATGGAGAGTGCCCGGCAGACAAGGAGATTTACGGTATTTGGGACACTGCCTACAGAGGCGGCTGGTTGACGATTTCTGACGCTGGCCAACATCTGAAGGAGACCTTCTGTAGCAAGTGCTATATGGGGATAGTATCAGCTGGTATGGCCAGCGGGCGCTTCTCACGAGAGCGAACCTACTTGCTGGAGAATGTGCTGGTGGGAGAGCCCTTCCAGGCATTGCTGTCCTCCAATTCCCAGACATCCCACTGGTCCGTCAGATCGGTGCATTCACCACTGGCTGCTCGAGCTACGTAGAAAGAGCTTTGCTACTTTGCATGTAGGTCGCGAGGCTTCGGCAGCCATCGGCTCTAACTGTCGTACTCTTTGTCAGAACACTTTGGATTCAGGTTCTCGGATGGCCCGATGGACAGAAGCAGGATGCAGTTGCTGGCATTGTGGCATGGTACGAGCAGCAGGGCATCAGAATCGCGGACCAAGATGTCTACTTTTTCGGCGATCGCACAGAGAACATCCCGCCTTTCAGTTCAACGTCTTTCAATGCCCGCGAAATCTCCTGTGCTTCCCGGGACATGGGCATTGGCAATGGCATCGTCGGATATTGTGGTGCAACGACGGTGGCCCGGCAGCAGCTTGCATGTATTTCCAGCTGCAGTTCGAACCGAACAACTAAATTCAGTTGTAATTCATGTGCCAGCCAGAAGCCCGTCGCAGGACGAGATCGTGGATACCAAGGGTGTCCACGTTTGCAGCGATGCGGCACCGACACCGACACCTTTGCCCCCGCCACCGGCCACAGAGGACTGCTTGTGTATCTTCGACATTGACAGGACTCTCACTGGAAAGCAGGGTGACACCACGAGCGAATACTGCGACAAGAATAAGCTGGAGAACAGCATTTGGGACACTGCTTACGGTGGGGGCTGGCTCACTCTTTCAGAGGCCGCTCAGACCTTGCCGGAGACTTTCTGCAACTCTTGCTACTTGGGTGTTGTCTCGGCTGGGGATGCTGGAGGTCATACCTCACCCGAGAGGCCATTTCTCCTGGAAAATGTTCTACGCAGTGAGAAGTTCGACAAGATGAAAAGCGAGAACAGCCAAGCGTGTCTTGTCTTGCAGTTGGCTGGGTGATCACTGCTTCTAGTGAATGAGGTGAGTCCGAGGGCCAAGTGCACAGTGACCGTTCTTCATGTGATGCCGAGATTCGGCCAGGTCAGCGGTTGTTGTTTAAAGGCTTCAGGGTATTGTTCTGACCTGCCTAGCCTGAGCATTATTTCCATGCCACTAGAAGTTTCATGGGAGACCCGATCGTGCGGAGAACCGCAGCAGTTTGGACGTCACCCTCAGCCCGGAGAAGGGACAAGAAGGGACGCCAGAAGCTTTTTGCCAGGTCCGCATGGTCCGGCTATCCAACAGTGAATTCCCCTCTCGTTCTCGACTGGCCGAACCGGTTGAAGCAGAACGCTGCCCAGCTGGATTTCAGCTTGAGAAGTGACATTTGGTGCAGCAGAAGCAGTGATGTTCAGTTTGTCGTGTCTTGCATGCCGTCCAGGAGGGCATAACCGGGGCAAGACCCGTATCGTTTGAGGTTTAACCAGAATTGCAGTGCTCTTTTCTTAAGAGGGGGTGGGGGTTGCGCCTCAGTCCGTGCACCGGAATTGCCATATTATGCATACCCAGGCTGCCGAAGGCATCGTCTCTTGGTACGCACAGCAGGGGGTGACTATCCCCCCGAAGAAAGTCCACTTCTTCGGCGACCGGACAGAGAACATTGGACCCTTCGCAGAGAAGGGCTACAATGCTAGAGAGATCTCATGTGGCTCACGAGACTATTCCTTGTACTCCAGCGGGATGGTGGGTCTCTGTGGTGCGAGAAAATCCGAGATTGTTGACACACCGGGTGTTGCAGGGTGCTGATCGCGAGGAATTCCGTAGTTGAATTCCATCACTGCTTCGTCAGTGCAGGGCCATGCTGCAGACTTGCAGGGCCTTACAGTCGAATCCTTGCCCACACCAGTATGGGCTAGAGTTTAGAGGCTGCTTCTAGGCAGCACGTGCGCATGCCTATAGCTTCGCCCCACCTGATCCAGATGTATTAGGGTAAACGATAGGTAGGATAGGAAGTCCATTGCTTCGGAGGCGGGGTGAGCTTTTCTTTCGAGCTTTTGGTGGGCAGTCACCTCGATGGCCCAAAGAGGCAAAGCCTCCAGGTGCATGTACAGATATAGACACATGCTCCGCACTCAGAAGGAGCAGCGGGGAGGACCTGAGGCTACATAAAGATACTCCTCGGCCTCTTCGCCGACTGCATGAACTTCGCACGCGAGGAGAAAGCAGTGTAGCATCCAGCGCTACATCGCTCGCAGGACTGTAAACCCAAAAGCTTGGATCCCCAGGTTTCCTCCGTGCACCTCCCGGAAGCAAGTTCTGGCAGCTGCCTGGGTGGCGCCCTGCGCCCTTGGCCTCGTCGGCAGATGACCCCCGAGGCTGCCGGCCAGGAAATTACATAGCACCAGCAGGGACAGGGTATGTGGTAGCAAAGGAGGAACGGTGGTGGGACGCACTAGCTAGGTTCTACTGTGGGTGTTAGTTGTCAGTAGTTGGTAGATACTGGATTTCGCTAGTACAGAAGAGTTGGAAGCTAGCAGTTCGGAGCTGCTAGGTACTGGCTAGCAGTCAGCACTTAGTGGCAGCAGCTCCCAAAACCCCAAAGCCTAAAGCGATGTGTTTCGGAAGTTCTCACTCCCACATGCACTGCTTTTTGCAGATGACATAATTTTGTTTGCAGCTACTGAAGCGGAACTCCAGCGCAAACTTCGTCAGCTGCAGGATGTGCTAGGAGCAATAGGGCTACGCCTTAACCTCGCTAAATGTTGCGTTCTTGATCAGCCAGAGGGGACCACACCAGCAGTCTGGGCCAAGGGGGCGGCTACTCCGCTTGTGGGCACAGATCACATGATCTACTTAGGAGTTCCCCTCGCCTACAAGACAAATCCGTTGGGTCAGTTGGGCATCTCTCTGGCCAAGGTTTCCTCTGCCTTTTTTGGTATGAGACGCCTTTTGGATCATCAGGACACACCGGTTAAGGAGAAACTTCAGCTTTTCCACACGTACATTACCAGCAAGTGGGCTTGGTGCTCCCCCACTGTATACCCGTCGACGGCAGCTCTAAAAGGCATTGAATCCTTCAAGCATACCCTCCTGCTATCGCTGTTGCGCCTCCACGTTGACCCACTTCAAACCTTTGTCTCCAACACTGTGTCACGTAGACGAGCGGTTAAGGTGCTGTGCGAAACCCTCGGTTCAACCAGGTGGAGAGAGGTCTGGTTGACTCGTCTTTGGTCTTTCTGGGGTCACGTGTTTCGCTCTGAGAATGCTTTGCCCCTTCACTGCCTGATTAAGAAGTGTGCCACTGCAAGGGTCATCTCTGGCCGAGTTCCTGCCTCGGCTCTACAAGGATTTATACCGAGGAAGCTCCAGTTGGTCTGGGATCACATAAGAGGAGGGTCGCCCTTTGGAGATGTTGCGGCACTGGCTCAGGACAGGACAGCTTGGACCCTAACTTTGCCCTCCTTCTTAAATAAGTGGGGATATGGGAGGGGGGTCTTGTCAGCCCTACCCTCCAACTACTTGCATGACAGGCAGCTGCTCCTTGTGGGGGATGCATTGGCAGTTCTCAGACCAGCACGGGTTTTCCCGGATGAACCCTATACCCGAGAATTCCAACACTTGCTCCCTGGAGTGCCACGTAGGGAACAATGGACACTATGGGCATCTATGCTGGATCAAGGTGCTCAGGTTGCGGTTGTGCCTCCCCGAAGTATAAAACAGGAGACCATGATCTTCCAATACTGTGTGGAGGATCTGTTACTCAAAAGGCTTGTTTTGTGGAAGCTGATCCAACTGGCCTACTCGTGGATCCCGGAGTTGTTGGATCTACGAGCACCTGTTTTCGTACCTAG